TTAAATAGGGTTACCGGTGTACCCATTGCAACAATGAGATGTACAAGACATTATTTTGAAAAATGAACTTTAAAATTTTGGCAAGGGGGTTGGTGGACAGGGGAAGGGATGGGAAGGGGAAACAGGAGGAAGAAACAATGCTTGATAAGAAATGGACTCACTATCTTGCCCAAGTAACTGTAACCCCACTGTATGATATTTTCCCAATAATAAATATAAAAAGGAAGAAAGAAAGAAAGGAAGAAAGAAAGAAAGAAAAAAAGAACGGAAGGAAGGAAGGAAAGAAGGAAGGAAGGAATGTGCTCACTATCTTGCCCATGTAATTGTAACCCCTCTGTATGGCATTTTCACAGTAAATAAAAAGTATTAAAATAAAAAAATTAATAATGAGATAAAATATAAACAAACAAAAATAATAATAACAGATGCTAGTGGGGATGTGGCCAAAAGTAATGCTATAGCACCATTGGTATCCTAATATGACAAAAGATATAATATTACATGCACATTACATACACATTAAAATTGTTGTTTTTATGTGTATGTTTACATATGATGAGTATTTATCATGACACTACTTAGAAGCTGAATTGCAGAACCAGGCTCCATTCCAAACAACACATGAATGGAAAAAGTGAATTGAGCCATACAGACACAATGGAGTCTTGAGTATGCAATTATGTTTGATTCAGGAATACAGGAGGAAGTGGAGAGCATCATGCTCAGTAAATCACCCTGACAAATGCAGCAGTGGTATAGACTGGACACAGTGTGAAAAATGAAGCATACAACATGTGGTTGGGGAAGGGAGGGAAAATCTGGGTAACAACCTAAAAACAGAAATGTACTCATTACCTGACTTACATAATGGTAACTCCACTGTACAACACATTTACAATACAGACAGACAGACAGACAGACAGATAGAGAGATACATTAACACCCAACACAGATCCCCAAGTTTTATCTCATTTTTGAAATGTAGGGAGAAGGCTGAGAGTACTACAGTAGATATCAATGACAATGAAGTAGAAAATGTTAGCTTCACCAGCAAGGAAACCTGATACATGGTTCAAGCATGTGGAAGCACATGGAGAAAACAGAAGAAAAGGAAAAAGAGGAAAAGGAAAATGAGAAAAGAGAAAGAGAAAGAAGGGGACTTGTGCTGAGCCAGGACCACAGTGGATGTGGAAATGACCTCAGAGTGTGCAGTCCTTTGCTGACTCACAGTCAGGTGATTGACAGGTGACTACTAGCTTCAGGAGGTGAGGAGGGGGTGTTCTCTTGGGCAGACTTAACAGAAATAGAATAATAGATGAGGAGAACAGAATAATTTTTTTTCTCTTACCCAGGAACAGGTGGCTCTTACCTATAATCCTGGGTATAGAAGCAACAAAGATTTCTACCTCAGAACCAAAGTCAGGCTAGGTCCCAGCATTGATATTCTTGCAAGGTCTTGCTGGCTACCAACATCAAATAGCATTTGCATTCTTACTTTTCCAACTTACATTTGCTAAGCCCTTCCTCAAAAATATATGCAGCCAGTTCACAGAACCAGCCACCATGGTGAACTCTGTGCAGTGCAGGACCCTATGCTGTGACCTTGGTTTCACTTCTAGTATGAGGAACTAATAGAGAAGACAGGTAGGGAAACATGGACAGAGCTGGCACCACACAGTTGTACAAGTGGGAACAAGAATTCCCAGAGCACTCAGGACATGATGGGAACACAACAGAGCAAGACCCATCCATACACAAACAGCTACCATCATACTCCGTGGGGAAGTCTTCTATGTTACCAGAAAGTCATAGATCGGGGGCTGGGAAGGTGGCTCAGTGGTAGAGTGCTTGCCTTGCATGCCTGAGGCCCTGGGTTCAATTCCTCAGCACCAAATAAGCAAAAACAAGCCGGAAGTGGCACTGGGCTCAAGTGGTAGAGCACTAGCCTTGAGCTGAAGAGCTCAGGGACAGTGCCCAGGCCCAGAGTTCAAGCCCCATGACTCGACCCCCCCAAAAAAAGAAAAGAAAGTCATAGATCATAGAATATCTCTGTCTAATAGTGGACTGGCACAATATATTGATAGGTGCAGTCTGATAGTCAACTACATGCAAGCACTGAAGAAGTTCAAGGTTCAGAGTGCAAATATCCAATTGAATATGTGCATTGACCTTGAAGTATTGATCTGTAATGATTGAATTCAGGGAGACTGTTGGTAACACCTGCAGCAGTAAATAAATGTATTGACCACTTCTGGATACCTATGCATGTGCAGTTGGTGTGGAAACCTGAATGATTCATTTAAGCAAACTTCTGTGGCCCACTTGGCTCTGGATTGTGACGCTGCTCATCCTTATCTTTGATTAAGCTCCAATAACTCTGTTTGGGCCTTTTCTGGCCATGGCACTCTATGACCATTTGACCTTCACATGGCATCTTCTGGTGTCATCCATTCCCATGATCCCTAGTGACCCTTGATTTTGTGTGCTTTTTTCTGTTCATCTTTTTGCTTTCACACAAATTTGTGAACAACTCAACAAGAAAGGAATCCATCCCTGGATTTTCATTACCTACAGACTTGGATGGAATCACGGTCCTGAGGCAGTGGAGAGGAAGATTATACACATATTTCCTAACTTCTGTTTTGACCTTGAAGCTGGATCCCAGATGCAGAGCCAGAGGGAAGAATGGGCTCTGTATTCCTCTAGGAAAGTGGAGGAGATCCAGGTAACAAGAAGCCGCAAAAACTGAAGATCCATTTAGACACATGCCTGACACAGAAATCACAGTCTGCATCCAGAAACGCAGCTCTAGGTCAAAGCAGCAGCAATGTTCCCTGTGGCTCTGACACTGCTTCTCCTCCAGCATCCACACCTGGTCAGTTCCTCTAAACATGCCAGACGCATTTGCACAGAGAAATCTGTGGCACATAGCAGGGGAGATGTGGTCATTGGTGGATTTTACCCCCTCTATACTTAGGAATTGTTCATTCAAAACTTGAATGACCCTACCCTGCAGCAACAGAACCTTCAGTGATGTCCTGGGTTTCCTTAAATTTGAATTTTCACTTTTGGTTACAGTAAGAGGTGGGGGAAGTTTGGACACAATCACTGATGTGCTCTGCATCTTCTACATTGCCCTCACTACAACAGCTCTACTTCATTTCAGATTTTCCTGATGAATATTTTTCTTTTATCCAATGGTACAGAGTTTTCTGTCTGTTTTTCATTCCACTCCCTTCTCCTAGAGATGTCCCGACCACCCCACCATCACTGTGACTCCTCCACTCATCACTGTTACTCAGGGTCAATGGGGTGACCAAGAGTCCATACAAAGACACTAGAGTGCAATGTCCCCATCCATAGTACAAAGGCCAGGGAATCTTCAATCCATTTTGTTCTTTATACTTTTCAAAACAGGACCACTGTTTGGACCTCCTTTATGGTAACATTTCTTAGGATAGACATACAGTTTCTGCTTCTGGAGCTATTTCATGTCAGCAAAGGTCTGGGAATGGGGAGCTGCTGGTCAGATCAGTAATAAGATATCCAAGACACGTTTCATTTTTCCCCTTAACTAATGTATGTAAACGTCTGCCCTGATGTCCGTGTCTTGGCCTGTTTCCTATGTCATTCCCAGAAGCTCTGCTTCCCTTCCTTGTTCTCCAACATCTTTCCAGGCTTATTTATTTTTCAGTGCTCAAAATTGCCTAAACTAGATTTGAATGTTTTTTCATATATATTGTCAGTAATGGGGCTTGATCTCTGGGTGTGCATGCTGTCCCTGTGCTATTCAGCTTAAGACAAGGCTCTACTGCTTGTGCCACAGTTCCACTTCCAATTTTCTGGTGGCTTATTGGAGATAAGAGTCTCATGAACTCTTCTGCCCTGGCTGGCTCTGAACCCTGATCCTCAGATCTCAGCCTCCTGAGTAACTAGAATGACAGGAGTGAGCAAAGGTGCCTGGCTTTTTCACATATTTTATACACTCTTTCATTCACACACTTGACCCAGGTGAGCTCACTACTTTCAGATCTTCAAAATTCTCTGTAAACTAGGGAAGTCATGGATGGATCTTCTCAGACAAGTTGTGTGGAAATGCCCTTTATGTGGTTTGTTCAGGAGAGGAATACTTTATTCCATGAGAGATTTGTGAGAGATATTGAAGCCAAATTAATGTGGTGAGGAAGTGAGTGAGAAAGAAGGGGCTCATGTGTAAACCCAGCATTAAAAACGTACCCCCATGGGAGGTGAGAGATGTCAAAACTATCCTCTTGTATGTCCATTCTCTAATTGAGTTGTGTTTGTGTGTGTGTGTGTGTGTGTGTGTGTGTGTGTGTGTGTATGTTCACACATACTCTGGTACTCAGGCATCATCTCAAGTCCTGATGGGTATCCCTTAGCACTTTTTCTCTCATGGCTGGAACTCTACCACTTGACCCACAGCTCTGCTACCAGTTTCTGTGGGGTTGCTTCCACATAAGACTGTCACAGACATTCCTGGCAAAGTGACTACAAAACATACTTCTTCGATCTCAGTCTCCTTAGTAGTTATAATTACAGGCCTTATCCACCAGTTCCCAATTCATATTTAATATTACTGACATTCTATTTGTCAAGCCTCAGAGTTATATTGTACACAAGGACATCAGCATACATCCATGAGAGTTGAGATTCTATGAGAATTTTCCCAAAATGATTACAATGAATTCTAGGAGAACGAATTGTTCTGGAACAGTCTTGATTCATATTGATATGTTATAACATCTGGCCTTTGAAATGGCTCCGAATTATACTAATCTGCCTGGCCTGTCTTTCCAGAATTTCCAGGCAGGCTTCAGTGTTCCTGAGCCTGTAGTGACTTCCGCAATGGCACCACTAGAGAGAGCCAGGCCTTGTGAGAAGTCAGCTATAAGGTGATAAACCACTTCAGTACCAGAGAAAACCAAACACAATTCTGGTGACAAATACTCTGTGGTTCTAAAAACCTCAAGAGAACCCTAATGCGTTGTGGGTCCAAACATGATTCCTCCTGGGTGCACAGGGGCCCCATGTGCCTCATCCACAGGGAATGGCCTTGTGAGTGGATTCTGCCTAGCAGTGGCAAGATCTGTGTGCTGGAACAGGCCTTAGTCACAGCTGTGGCCATCAGAACTCCATTGCACCTAGAATACCAACCAGCAGGGTCACCAAAACAGATGAAGGTAAATGACGTTTTCCTCTAAAAGTAGGGACTCTTCACTTGTAATCCTTGACTTTGACTGCAGAAGAGGAAATTCTAGACAAGTAAGAACAGTAAGAAAATGCGGCAGAGCTTGCCTGAGTAAGGAAGCAAGCAAACAATCAGGTAAACAAACAGGAACCAGAAAGGCAATGATTCACTCTAACTGAGGAGAGACACACAGCTCTTGAGCTGCCAGTGGGTATTCAGATGGTAAAGGCAAGATTCTATCCTCAAAGTTACACAAACACAGGTGTCTCACCTTTGCTCTAATCACTCCTGGTGTTACACTTTCTGAGTTTCTGTATGTTTGGGCCATTCTTTACAGATGATTATCCTTGATGGAAGGAAGGTGTGCTGTTGTCTATATTTGGGGTAGGATGTTGCTTAAGTTTGGGGGGATCATCTTGGAGGGAAGGCATATACCCTACAAGACAACTGCTAATTCAAATGATGAGAAATGCATCTCTCAGGAAACAATGCAACCTGTTACCTCTCTTTGAAGTAAAAATATTAGTCCTGTGTTTCTAAATCACATGTTTCTGAGTTGCCTTCTCTAGGACTCTTATTTTTTCTGTAATTGTTCCAGTTTCTTTTTGTGCTCAGTGACTTTGGTCCCTTAATCTTAAGATATGTAAATGGATGAATGGCTCTCTATTTGCTGTGAGCTTTCCATACCTCAGTTTTTACTAATTTATTCTACTCCATTTTCCCCTAAATGACTTCGTTCCCTTAATATTAAGGGAAGTAAGTGGACAAGCTTGAGTTTTTGAATTCCTGGCATGCATTAACCAGGCCTTATTTTCCTTAGTCTATCCTGCCTGAGTACAGCATGCTCAGTCCATTGCAATCAAGACCAATACAGTGCTAGTTGAGCACTAAGATCGATTCACGTTGAATGTGCTAGAGGTGCTTTCATGTGCCAAGATGCCCACAAACATACACAATTAGTAATAGCTAGAATAGAATTCAGACTCTCTGGTGGTAGATTATTTTCTCAAGTACTGAGATGATTATACAGCTCTGCCAGAGGCTGCTCTGGCTATGGGATCATGGCAATGTTCTAGTGCTATCACATGTCCCACACTAAGCTATGGTACACTATCACCATCTTACTTTCTTGTCCAATCCATGGGAAGTGGGATGAAGAACCATGCTCTGTCACAGCAACTTGTTAAGTTTTGTACAGGAAGACACACGCTGAGCACGGGTTGCTGATGCCTGTAAACCTAGCTACATAGGAAGCTGAGATCTGAGTACCAGGGATCAAAGCCAGCCCAGGCAGGAAAATCTGTGAGACTTTTATCTCCAAATAAAGATCAGAAAACCAGAAGTGGTACTGTGGCTCAAGTGGTAGAGCACTAGCCTTGAAATGAAGAATTCAGGGATAGATCCCTAGCCTAGAGTTCAAGTGCTAAAACTGACAATAAAAAACAAAAAAACAATGGAAGCCGCAGGGTCATCTTGGTGAACACAGCCATACACTCAGGATCAATCTCCCATCCAGAAAGCCCAAATGGTCAAGTGTCCCACACTCCAGCTTGTGCTGCTATAGACCAGTGCACATTAGCTTCCTAGAGCAACCCAAGTTTCTGCCTGATTCCACATTGAGCATTGTCCTTCCAGGGCAATGGTCCTTGAGATTCTTCACTGTGCAACAAGACTGGGACTGAGCCAGATGTCAACAGAGTCATATAGCAACAGTTGCTTCACAAGGCTATGCAGGAAGACAGGCGTCAGCCTATTTCAACCATGGTGGAAACTGATGGAATGGCATTTGGTTCTGCCTCAGGGACCTTCCAACAACTCCTGAAAGATTCCAGTGGATGCTTTGGTGCTGTCATCAAACAGCGCCTCTAGTTTATTCTGGATTATTAGTCCAATCATGACATCCCTGACACAGGGTTCTAAGAAAAAACTCTGACCCATTCTTATGCCCTGCTCACTAGGAGGTCATGCCCCACATCTTCTGTCGTTCACAAGATTGGAGGAGGCAGATCGTGGCAGTGTCTTCCTTCTCTGTCCTAAACCAGTTCCAGAGGCACAACCTAAATGTCTAGACACAAGAGTAGAGACTATAACCACTTCCCCAGCACTGGTCCCAGGATATGGGGATGGTGCTGAGATTTAACTTTAATTCTCTCCCTCCCGGCAATGTTAGAGAGTTTCTGTCCATAATGAGCTACTAATGCTGTTGACTGGGAGGAACATAGAGATGGCTTTTTTCATCCTTTTCTCACACATCTTTTTCTGTTGTTTTGTTCCACTTTGTTGGGTGAGGCAATCTTCAGGTTTTCTTCCTCATTTGCCATCTTGCACTGCTTCTAGGGAATCCCCTTGAATGATGGCATTCTCTAAGTCAGCTTAGTGTGCCTCTACCACATGACATGAATTGAATTTCTTTGTTTTCTTTAATTTCCTTACAAGGTAGGATTCACTACTTTGCAGAAGGGTGCACCATCGGGAAAGTCTGGCAAGAGAGCACAGAGACAAGGCAGCCTGTTTGCTATTTACTCCTGAGACAGCAGGCACTGCCTCTCTGCTCATATTGGTTGAACTCAGGTGGACAATCAGCTCCCAATTTGAATTGTATTTCTTAACAGTTTTTCATATGTGTACAGCTAATTCAAGATATTTAATGACTTGGGATGTGAGCTGGGCATGCCCCTCTGTTCCAACAGACAGCAGCGTTATTCACATAGCCATATGTACAAGAGAGGAAAAGCCACCTTGCTCATCCCCCCCCCTCCTCCCTACAATCTCAGAAAAGCAGTCACCTCATGTATGCTGATAAAGTCCTGTTTAGGAGCAATCTCAATTCTAAGACACCAAATTAGAATGTCATCCTGTTGGAAGATAGGATCAACACAAACCACTGTGGGTAGAGATAAGCATTTGATTAAAAAAAGTCATGAGATTTGCAGTTAAACATTTGTGATAAGCATATACCTACCCAAAACTTGTGACCTTTGTGCAGGATCAACTTAAAAAAATACCAATTGCTTCTCACCCTGCTGATGGCTGTGGAGGAGATCAACAAGAATCCCCATCTGCTTCCCAACATGACTCTGGGGTTTGAGATCTATAGTGCACATTACTCAGGTACTGATCTGTTAGAGGATACTCTCATCTGGCTGACTGGGAAAAATAAAAACAGTCCAAATTACACCTGCAGAAGAGACAGCAAAGCTTTAGCAGTACTCACAGGAACATCAAGCATATCTGTTCCAATAGGGACACTGCTGGACCTCTACAAACTACCACAGGTGAGGCTGGAGGAGGTGGGCAGATGTGAATCTATGTCCACATGGACTCTGTCCTGGACAGGCTGAAGAGGTATTATCACAAACCCTTCCAAATGCATAATCTCACAGGGAAAAGACTCCATAAGTGGATGGAACATACTCATTTTCTTTGCTCTAAATAAAAGGAGAGGTTTTAAGAGAGGAAAGGATGACCCAAAGCTCTGAGCCTTATCCATCCATGTCTACAAAGTGCTTGGAACATGGGAGATGACTTTGCAAATGGGATAAGCAAACTCTTGCTCCCAACCTTGCCAGTTGTTGTTTAGCTTACATCAGGACTGAGACTTGCCTGTTACCATCCTCTTCCTGGTGTTGTGTTCATTTTTCCCTGTAGTTCACTTTTGGAACTTTTGATCCTCTCATCAGTGACCATGGAAAGTTTGGGACTGTCTATCAGATGGCAGCCAAAGACTCAGATCTAGCTCTGGCCATGGTCTCTTTGATGCTTCATTTTGGCTGGACCTTGGTGAGACTGTTCATCACTGAAGACAACTATGGTATGTGGTTCCTCTCAGAATTGAGAGAAGAGATGGGCAAGAGTAGAATCTGTTTTGCCTTTGAGAACATGATCACTTACAATGCCTTTATAGATTACTCAGATGATCTATCGAAGTATTTCCAGCTAATGGACTCATCAACCAATGTGATTATCATTTATGGGGACAGTAAATTTCTATTAAGCTTGATTGTTAAATTTGGGCACATTTTAATTACAAGGAAAGCCTGGGTCATGAACTCACCCTATACTGATCCCACCATTGGTAAAAGATATTTTCTGATCCACTCCTTTCATGCATCTCTCACCTTCTTTCATCATCATAGAAACACTTCTCTCTTCACCAATTTTATTCTGAAAGGTACCTTGTCAAATAACTTAGGAAATAATTCCTTTCCTAGGTCATGGATTCAGTCTGTTTATAGCCTACTGATTTAGTCTTACTGCAGAGACTTGGGGAACTGTTCATACAATGCCACACTCCATTGGTTGCTGAGGCACATTTTTGACATGACCATGTCAGAAGATGGTTACAACATCTATAATGCTGTGTATGCCTTGGCCTACGCCCTCCACCAGATGTTTCTTCGTCACATGGAAGAGCCACCAGTGCACAATGGTCAACGAAGGGCATTTCTCTATTCACAGGTAATGGTTTTTCTTTTGGGTGCCCTACTCTAGGCATATAGACTTTCTATAGAAGCTTTCATAGCAGATGGAACTAGACCATCTGGCTCCATTTTGAAAAATACAAGAAACATTGGGCCTGTCATGCTCTACATGAGTGAATGTAGAGCTGTGAAGACAATGTTCTTGAAGAATTCTGCATCCCTGAAAAGGAAGTGCTGTGTCTTCTGTCCCCATCCTCACTATGTGTGGAAAGAGCGGTCCCCTTTTCAATATATCCAAATTGTTTTTGTAATATTTTAAAATAACAGATCAAGGTGACTAATTATTGAAAACCTAATATTGTCTGGACAAAAGTGGCTCACACCTGTGGCTCACTCGTGACTACAGTTAATTACCAAAAAGCCAGAAATGGCACTGTGGCTTAATGGATAGAATGCCTCCTTTGAAAAGAAAATAACACAACCTCAATTTGAGTACCTAAGCCCTGAGTTTGAGTCATGGGATACACACACACACACACACACACACACACACATCACAATGAACGAAGTCTTGCTTAAGGTAATCTTTCATAGTTGTCATAAATATTTTACTATTCTACTTAGTTCATTATTCACCTTATTTCAGACTGACTCTCTAATCACAATCATAAAATAAGTGATTAGAATGCACTTTAGAGAAACGGTTGTGGCTGTCACATTATAATTCATTATTTGGTTGGATGTGGCTGGAGTTACATTCCCTTGAAATTGAGTTTTTGCATGCCATACTGGATACCCAGGTATTAGAACTTGGTAACTCTTTAGTCCATTGTGAACCTGCATTTGATACAGTTGATTGGAATCCTGTGTTATGTGTGAATCATGTGGTGGAAATAAAGGCTAATCTGTGTGTATCAATTGTTCTTGGGTTCTGGGAGAACTCTTGGAAGCACTTCACCATAGTATAATGTGTCCCTTTTAGCTGCATCCCTTTTTGAAGAAGATCCAATTTACCAATCCTGTTGGAGAACAAGTGGTTTTGAATGAGGAAAGGAAATTGGAAGCACAGTATGACATTATGAGCTTTTGGAATTTTCCAGAAGGTCTAGAAGAAAGGGTGAAAGTTGGCAAGATTTCTCCATCTAGGCCACATGGTCAACAACTGATTTTGTTTGAAAATCTGATAGAGTGGCCCATAGGAATTACCAAGGTGGGTCATTTCTACATTTTCTACTCTCTCCTTTTAAAAAAAATGTATTGCTATTAGGAAGTAATTGTAGAAAGAGCTTACAATTCCCTAAACCAGGTTATGAGTACAATGATTATAGACAATGTCACCATAACCTTATTTCTACCTCAGAGTTGGTTGTTTCTAAGCATAATGTCATGATCTATGTATAAATAAGCAATAAGCTTACAATTTTTTAAACCTTGTTCAATAAAACTATGGCTCAGCTGTGTACATGTCACCTCTTCCTGTTTCTGGAAGTTTCTTACTAACAGATTCATGGAGGGAATAGGGGAGCATTTCATTATCAATATGTTGTCCTATGTTTGTATATTGAATATCATAAAGGCTAAATGCCACCTGTGAATCATCTTTCCAACACTGTGACCAAATGGAATCGATGAGAATCAATGAGAAGGAAGAAGGGCTTGCTTTGCTTCTGCCTTGAGATTTCAGACCATCGTTGGGTAGATTGTTGCTTTTGGATCTGTGTTGAGACAGGTTGTAATGAAAGGAGCATCTGCCAGTGAAGTTCACCCACCTAATGGGAGTGGGGATGTCAAGAGAGAGAGATGTGAATAACCCTGTGTAGAGCAGCACCTTCAAAGCACTTAGCCATGCTTTAGAGTGTGGATATGAAGTTTCCCTGAGTGATTTTCTTCTCATGAGGAAAAACACATCATCACCTGATTCAAGAATGGGATGCAGGGTTAACTCCCATTTCCTAATTTCCTAGAATTAACATCCACCTCTTCAAGGCTCCATGAATTCCTGATAGCATGAGTGGTTGGGTGTCGAGGCCCCATATATTCTTCAGGTCATGTTACATGAAACTGTAAGAAGGCTCAATCAATTCATTGGCTGTATGTATATAAAGCTTATGTGTTTTGATTATCTTTTCCCCTAAAGTATTGGAGTGTCTGGGATGTCAGGTAAAAGGATCAATAGTCACTACCCTTCATCTGAATGTTCCCAGACTCCTCAGTCTGTCTGCACTGAGAGCTGTGGTCTTGGATTCAGGAAGGCCTCTCTGGAGGGAAATGCTACCTGTTGCTTTGACTGCATTCGTTGCTCAGAGAATGACATTTCTAATGCAACAGGTGAGTCTGTGACTTATAGAGAAATTCCCCATCTCTCCTTCTTAATCTTCAGTCCATCCAAACCAGTGGAGTGATATATAGTTAAATGGCAGGAACACACATGCACCTTCACCCAAAGTTCTATGACTACCGTTAACCATACTTCTCCTTAGAAGAAAAACCAACTGTCCCTCCATTACAATACCCCTGTTCCCCTCTCCTCAGTCACACGTTTTTGTATTTAAAGACAGTATATAAACAGAAAATATCAAGGATTAGTTGTTGATGTTTGAAATGATGTGCAAATCAGACTTTCATTTGTGAATGCTCATTGCTACTCTTGCCTAATTAGATGTTATTTCCTATTATTCTTTGCCTCCATCAGAAAGAATGACATTGCCCCATTTATTAGGAAATGAAAAGACTTGGAAAAATTATATTAAATGAAGTTAGTCAGGCCCAAAGAAACATAGGTCCCATGGTTTCCCTTATTTGCAATAACAAGTATATGTCTGAGTCAAGCAGAAAAGGTCAGATAAGTTGATGTTAGGGAAATTAACCCTAAGATATGTACTCAAATGTTTTTTTTCTTTCATGTAATTGTTTCTAACACATTTATAAGATTATTTCTTTGTTGTTTTGTGGGTCCCTCCCCCACGGTATAACCCCTGCTTTCACTGTATTTGATGTTTGTATAATTTGTGGAGGGGAAGGGAAAAAACAAATCATTTAAATAGCGATACAGGTGGACCCATTGCAACAATGAGACATAAAAGTCATTATATAGAAACCGATCTTTACAACTTTGGAGGGGGGGAGGACGGTTGGTGGGGGTGGGGATGGATGGGATCGGAAGGGGAAACAAAGGCGGAGGCTACAATGCTTGATAAGAAATGTATTCATTATCTTGCCCATGTAATTGTAACCTCTCTGTACTGTATTTTCACAATAAAAAAGAAGAAAAGTTATTTCCTATTTAGCATACCTAATAATACAAGGGGCTTTGGGTTTTTTTTTTTATGATCACTCCATATCTGACACTGGCACTAGGTTGACTAGCTATTACTCAAATATTATTGATTCAGAACTAGTTCACCCTCTCCATTTTGTGTCTATTCTCCCTCCTCAAGCTGATCTTTCTGAGACCCTCTCATATCAGTGGAGGAGCACTGTTCTTTTTTAATAAATTTTTTATTGTTAAAATCCTGCACAGAATGATTACATTTACATCAGGAAGGAAATGAGTACATTTCTTATTGAGTATTGTTGCCTCCTCCTTTGCTTTTTCCCTACCATCCCTTTCTTCCAATCACCCCCAACTCCTCCTCCCATAGATCAAATGCTCAGGAAGTTTGTGTTTTGGATTAAACCTTCTATTTAAATTGAAGTGCTTGGGCTAATTCTATGTTTTCCATTATTTCTTAAATGAGTAGCAGAGAGCCAGAGTGGTATGACCTGTCAAGAATGCAGCACGAGGGCTAGGTAATTATATATTACACCTGAAATCCAAGCGACGCAGGCAGTTGAGATTTGAGGATTGAGCTTTGATGCGATGATGGGCAGGAAACTCAATAAAAATCTTTTCCACAGTTAAGCAACGAAAGAGCTGGAATTTGAGCGGTGGTTCAAGTGATAGAGTGGTAGTTTTGAGCATGAATACTCTGGAAAAATTCCAAGGGCGGAAGTTCAAGCACTGGAGGAAAGACAGACAGACAGAGAGGCAGGCAGGCAGGCCAACAGACAGATAGACAGACAGACAGAAGGACAGGCAGGAAGGAGGGAGACAGACACACAGACACACAGACACCCAGACACACAGAAAAAGAAAGAAAGAAAGAAAGAAAGAAAGAAAGAAAGAAAGAAAGAAAGAAAGAAAGAAAGAAAGAAAGAAAGAAAGAAAGAAAGAAAGGAAGGAAGGA